AATCATTTGATAATCAACATTTGCATCTACCCACAAAATCCACAATCTATGTACATAAAATAAATTACAAAGATCTCCACACAAGTTAAGTCTGCCCTGAAGAAAGCCCTCTTAATTTTCTGTGGCTTTTACTGGTGTCCAGGCAAATGATATACTAATTAATCAAGTATGGGAGGAATGGGGTTACAAAATAGAAGTTGAAGGAACTAAAGGAACTGACTAAAGGGCAACACTAAGATGCCATATGCATTATAGGAAAAACAAATTTCATTTAACCAAAAGCACACAATGCGATTATCTGTGTCTGTTTTTTAACCACATACTCAACAAGTCTATGATTGAAGTTGATACTCAGGATATATAGTCTGCATTCTCAACTCATAAGAACAGGCAGGAACAAATCAGTTCCTGTAGGAACCATATAATGTACTATGAGAAACCTCAACAACCAAACACTTTGATTTTCAAAGGGGCAAATAGCCCCAAGATTGACCTAATATCACCTGGCATTAACCATTTTAATCTCAAATTTGCTGGGCTGTTTTAGTTTTCTCTTGCTACTATAAATAACTACCACAGAGTTAGTGGCTTAATACAACACAAATTTATTATTTTATAGTTCTGGAGGTCAAAAGTTTCACTGGGCTAAAACCAAGGTGTCAGCGGAAAGGCTTGGAGGATAAGTTTTTCCCACGTTTTCCAGCTTCTGAAAATCACCCCCATTCCTTGGCTTGTGATTGTGTTCCTGCATTTTCAAACCATCAAGATTAAGCTCAATCCTTTTCATGCTCTCACTTCTCCTTCATTTTTCAAGTCCCTAGTGATTACACTGGTCCCATACATATAATCAAAGATAATTTCCTTAGATTCCACTCAATTTTATTGCACTTATTTAGAAATTTTAGGTTATAGTATTTGTTGGGGGTGCAATGTCATTATTTAATTTAAAAAAAAATTTTTTTTTGATTTTTCACAGAGAGGAAGGAAGAGAGATAGAGAGTTAGAAACATCAATATGAGAGAAATATCGACCAGCTGCCTCCTGCACACCCCTCTGGGGATGTGCCCTTGGTATATGCCCTTGACTGGAATAGAACCTGGGACCTTTCAGTCTGAAGAGCGATACTCTATCCACTGAGCCAAACCAGTTTCGGAGGGTGCAGTGTCATTTAAATGGCACTTGTTAGGCTGCCTGATTTGACCAGAGAGCCTTAACATTGTAGTCTTGAATGGATAGAACTTGGACTGGCAGTCAATCTGCTTATTGTACGATCTAGACTGTGATAAGAAGACTATGTACACAGAACTGTCTAATTTAGTAAATAGCACATGAAAATATGTCAATCCACACTCCAAGAACTTCCTTATAGTAATAACTAATTTGAATTTAAAACCAATTTTAAAATAATATTTTACAAAATTGCTAGAAACGTCGATGAGAGAGAAACATTGACCGGCTGCCTCTCGCACACCCCCTACCAGGGATGTGCCCCCAATAAATGTACATGCCTTTGACCGGAATCGAACCTGGGACCTTTCAGTCCACAGACCGACGCTCTACCACTGAGCCAAACCGACTTCGGCTAACATGAACAAGTTTTAATTACGAAATAAATAAAACATGTTTTTACAAAGGAGCTAAATATGTATGATGTAGAGGAGAGAAATATACAGGGTAAGTTACAGTTGTGAGTAACATTCTTCTGAGTTAATAAAGCTATTGTAATAATCATAACCTGCATGTCTTTTCCCATATGAATGACTGCAGACTTACTTTTGCCCACCTCTCTATTATTCATGTTTACACCTGGTTGGTTATTACCTATAGACTAATAAAAATAAAAATTTTTTATAACTGCTAAATAGGTAATTTTATTGACATATTTGAGAAAGTAGAAAAAAAAAATCCTTCTAAGTTAAGGAACTGTTTTTAGAGACCAAAGTAAAATTAAAAGGAATATTTAACACTATGTAAATCCACACTCAAATTTTCAGGAGAAACTGCAGATAATCCTACTCTCTTAGGAGAAAAAAAAAATTCTCTTTAACAGCATCACCCAATCATGTTTTTAAATATTTAGTGTTTATTAGAGCTTAAGAAAAAGTTTCTTGAATGAAATATTCATTAACACCTAATTCATAATTCCACAGTTTATGACAGCAGTTAGCATTAGCGATTATGTCAAAAAAAAATAACTGAGAACCCATCTGGTATTTTTCTTTCAATCTCCTTTTCTTTCCCCACCAACAAAGAAGACATATTTGTTTTGGAAACAAATGGAAAACTCTACAAGAGAACTTAAAGTGAACAATAAATAATCAAGGCAAACATGTGAAATCACATCAGCCTATCAGTGGCTGACCGACCCAAGGTCAAGCATGTGAGAGCGAGTCAAGCATGTGAGAGCGGGTCAAACATGTGAGAGCGGGTCAAACATGTGAGAGCGTTATGGCAAGCTGAAGGATTTTTTTTGCTGTTAAATGACAGCAAGAGCACCACATCAGCCTCTTAAATATCCAAAAAACAAATCTGTGTTTTAAGTTTACACAATCACCAAAGGTGATGAGCTTTGAAAGTCACAGGAGACAAAGTAAAATTCTAAAAATATTTGCTTTTCTGTCAGAGTATGCAGTTCAAGCTAACATAAGATTTCATTTCAAATGACAAAAAGGAACATTCACCATCATTTAGAGGAAATATATAAGTTGAAATCATGAAACTCCCCTCAAAAATCAGTTATGCAATACAAAGTGTAAATCACAAATCCCCTCGTCTTTTTGGTTTCTAACAACATTCCCGAGTTTCCTTACAAACATTTAAATGAAGCAGAAGGCTGAGAAGTAGGTCAACATCGGGTTAGAGTTGCTTCAAGGAGGAATGTGAATTGTAAACCCATGGTGATGCAGTGAAAATGACTGTTATTCTTTATTGGCAATAGTGCTCTGTTTCATCATTTTGGTTACACAGATTGGTTTCAATTCCCTCACTATCACAAGAGTTCTGTGTTGTAGTTTTATGCTTGCTTTCTTGTTATACACAGTGATATCTGTGAGAACATTAAGATATCCCCTTCCCTAGCTAATTATTGATGGGAAAGGAAGCAAAGGAACAGTAAGACATTGTTGAGCATATTCAGCTGGGAAGCAGAAGCCTGCTTTCTCCACCAGGAAGCTACAACTTCACACCCCAACAAACCTCAGCATACCGTCCCCTTCCCCCATCTGGTAACAGGTGTGTAGGGGGCGAGGGGAAAACAGAGAGAGAGATAAGAACATGAGCAATAAAGTCAAAATGGTACAGGGAAAGGTACTGGACCATAGAGGCCTGTCAGTCTAACCTGGGAAAAGATCACTGGCTAGGGATGGACCCCATCAGAAGCCCGCAACAGTTTGGGAAGCTGATTGGCTATTTTGAAAAAAGCTCCTGGTTTCTCCCAAACCAGAATGCATAATCCCAGGTGGACAAAGAAACTCTCATCTCTTGCTCGAGACCTGAACTTATCCCATTCATTCATGTTCTCTCTCCATAGCCACATGGCCCTAAAAGCCGCATGGCCACTGGCCCCACACAGGATCCAGCAGGAGTCTAGGTAGAGCGGCGAAGCAATGGATTCCAGCAGGAACACAAGCTAAATCAACCCGATGCTTGACTAAACTAAGTGTTAACACTGCACAGAATCTCTGCACATTGATTCTTTCTGGCTCTGGTTTTTCCATGGTGAGAGGGACAGATATAGGATACTGGGGAACTTCTTTAATTTTGCTCCCTGAATGCATTTTGCCACCAGACCTCATCCTCTCTTGTAGGTCCCCCAAAATGCTTCCCTCGTGACAGTGCAAGAACCCCCTTCCACCAGCAACAATCAGAGGAGGAATAAGACAGGAGCAAAACAATGCACTGTTCTGTACTAAACAAAAATTGGCAGAGCAAACTAAAGACTAATTCCCAGAATAGAGCACAATAAAACCAAAGAAGGATGGTAACAATTATGAGAGCATTTTGAAAAATTAGCTTTCAACTCCCGAAATAAGTCTTGGAATTGCTAAGAATCTTTAGAAAATAAAATCAATATATTTTGTTATGGCTTCGAGGTCAAAACCCAAGAGCCAAAAAAAAGGGTTATAAAGTTTGTTCATGTATGTATTGCTGAGTTGATAGTTCCTAATGATAAAAACAAGATAGAGTTGCAAGCTATTAAGTCCATATTTGATGCTAAAATGAGAATCAACTATTCTAATTCAGATCATGTCCAACAACCAAGGTATAATGTGCCTCGAATATTAATAGGAAAGGTACAGGAATATGTAATAACTCATTGGGGCACATGAAAATACCTACACTGGTCCTGTAATTTGATATTCATTAAACACTAAGTAATGTGTTTCTTATGTTAATTATAACCAAAGCTATCATAGATCGCAATACTACACTTTTTTAGAAAAATGTGAATTTTTTTTCTAGAAGATTATCATGGAAGAAGTTTTAGTTTTCATACTTAATGGACTGGAGAATATTTTTAGGAAATGTTTAAATCTAAGATATCTAATAATTACTTGTAGCATATTTAATAACTAAGGGTAAGGATCTGTCTCTTCTTAGGTCAACCATTAATAAGTTTTGTGAATCTTTAAAACTAAACCTCTAAAAAGCAAAGTTCCTTAATTTTTAAAAGAGGAATGTCTCCTTAAGTTACTAAAAGAATATAATAATATACTGTACTACTTTTGGATAGCTTAACATTTGCATGACAAATAGCATTATTAATTTTTTTTTTCTGAAATGTGACTAAGTCATTGGAATACAACAGAAAAGACAGTAATTTTAAAAACTTTATTTTTAAAATTCTTCCTCTGTCTAGAATGTAGTTCATATAAAATAAGGAACACAAGATGAGAAAGTAGTGGCACAGTTAAAAAAAAAAAAAAAAAAAAAGGCAATGCCCATGAAAACAGCTTTAATTCATAGGGAACTGTTAAGATAGAAAGAGGAAGGACAGCCAGACACAGCGCCCCAGTCGCCTGGCAGCTTCTGTTGGCTCAGCAGCGGAGGGATTGCCGCGGCGTGTTCTTGGCGCCTCCCGGTCCGCAGTGCTTCCGCCCGGCCCGCCGGCCGGACTCCCGCCCGCATCCCCCAGCTGGTCCGGGGGTCCGGGCACCGCCTCCACGGCGGCCCCTCCGGACCTGAGCACCGGGCCGCAGCCCGAGCCCCGAGCGGACGGCGTCATGAAGAACCTGCCGTGCTTCTGCCACGGCGAAGTCGTGCGGGGCTTTGGCCGCGGCTCCAAGCAGCTGGGCATCCACACCGCGAACTTTCCTGAACAAGTGGTAGATAATCTTCCCGCTGATGTATCCACTGGCATTTATTATGGATGGGCCAGTGTGGGAAGTGGAGAAGTCCATAAGATGGTGGTGAGCATAGGATGGAACCCATACTACAAGAACACGAAAAAGTCCATGGAAACTCATATCATGCATACCTTCAAAGAAGACTTCTATGGGGAAATCCTCAATGTGGCCATTGCTGGCTACCTCAGACCAGAAAAGAACTTTGATTCTTTAGAGTCACTTATTTCTGCAATTCAAGGTGATATTGAAGAAGCTAAGAAACGACTAGATTTACCAGAACATTTAAAACTCAAAGAAGACAATTTCTTCCAGGTTCCAAAAGGCAAAATAATGAATGGCCACTGATGAAAAATCATCTTACTTATTCATTCATTGTTCTCAAATATTTTACTGCTCATAAACCTGCAGTCTCATTTTGGTTACACTTGAAAAACCAAAAATTTTCTTACAGCTGTGACTTAGTTTAAACAGTGCAATGTAATTATTATTATGCTTCATGTTCAATTAAACCCATCATGCTATAGCACTAAAAATCCTTATTTTAGAAATCTAGATTCTTTCTATGTAATATGTTGACTAAAATTTACCACTAGAAATATCAAGTGTTTTATAAGGGGAATGAAATGTATAAAGCTAGGGGTAAAAAGGCAAGTTACTAGTTTGGAATGAAAACTAATTATAGTAAGAGGCTAGCATGTATGTACTTGATTAGCATGTGCTGCTAAACAGAGAAGGCTTATAAAAGTAAATTATTAAAACAGGTTTGATAGCTTATTATAAACATAAGAGGGAAAATTTATACATTGTATTTTTTATATTTTGTGCATTAAAATATTACTACAAACATGAATACTTGTGAAATTTTAATTAGTCATGACTAATTTCCTTTATGGAAAATTAGAGGTCAAATCATTATCATGTTTTTGTTTTTGTTATTTAAACATCTGCCTCAGTTATGATTGGTCTGGACTCTGCTATCAGTCTTTTTGGTCTCTGTTAAAACATTAAAATGAGTGTATTTTGAAAAAAAAAAAAAAGAAAGAAAGAGGAAGGAAAAAACAAAAAGAGAATTATAAAAAAAACAGAGAGGCCACAAGGAGGTACAGAGGTGAAATAGCTAGTCACCATAAAATATCAGATTATTATATTCAAAATATTTGCTTGAAGGGTGTGGTGGGAGTATTTATAATTGCCCCAAGGTGCATTCCTTTAGTATCCTTTGAGCCCTAGGCATGTATGCAAGATACTACATATTTGAGATTAGCAATTTGTAGTATCCTAAATTCATGTACTTTTTTTAAAAATTTAACTATTTGTGACACATTTATTTCTATACCTTCCAATGTACACACAGAAAGAGCCAAGCAGGAGCAAATTTTATTAAAGGCAATCTAAGGCTGAAATAAAAATAACCCTCTACCATACCAGGAAAGACTAGATTAACAACTGAGTGGTATGACTTCAATACTCAAAAGTTGGAAGCTGACCGTTTTTAATCATTATGGTCCCCATTTTCCATAAAGCAATGAGCAAAAAAAGTCCATGGTACCTATTGGTACACACCCATAATGAAAATAGGAACAAAATTTTCCAAGTTATTCAAATTTAGGAATTAGTTTCTCTTCACCTACATGCTATCTGAAAAATAGCAATCAAGTCCCATATATGCTGGGAGAGTAACGATGATTAACACAATGTGTCTGATGATGATGCATGAAAGCTGAAATCTCTGATCTTAAATTTATATGATCAAATGTATACCGTAATAATTATCCAATGGTCATACTACCTAGTAAATTCAAACACAGAGGCCATTAGACCAACAAGGGTCTAAAGCCACTATGATCTACCTAAGCAAAGCAAAATCTAAATTTGTAAATGCCTCAAGATTGCAAGCCAAGGACAGCTGATCACAAACAGTCAATTAGGCTTTAAGCTACAGCCATTTAATAATTTTAATATTCTCACAGATATTACTGTGTATAACAAGAAAACAATAATTTACAGCCATTCAATAATTTCCAAGCACCGATCCTGGAGCACTCCTATCCACTTCTAGTTCTGTATGGCCCAATTCAAATAGATTTTTTGCTCAAATAAGCTCTTAAAATTCATACTATTCTTCATTTTACCTTTTCACGTGTCTCTCAGCTGAATTTGCTTATCACCCCCATATTTATATAGTAACAATATTCAATAATAAATTACTCTTTGCACACATATTTTTGTCACCAAATAAAGAGAAACACAGCCTGAATATTATGTACAGTGACTTAATCAGAAAATGTCTGGACAACTTTTGTTCCATACTAGAAAAAAAGAGGATAACTTAATCTCAAATTTCAATGATTAAAATTTTCTAAATTAAATGTTTTCTCTTTGATTGTTTCTTGACATTATTAATGCTGGCAAAAACAAGTGTTTGTGTTTAATTTCTTGTAAATATCATAATTGTTCTATAGATCTTAATTTAAATGTATGCTGTTTTGATCAATTTACCTCATAAGCTTCATTTATCTGGAGACTGTTTAATCAGTTTTTTAATAGAAATAAATAAATAAATCTAAGGAAAATAAAACTCACATTCAGCTTACCCTACACAATTATTTCAAAGAAAGAGCTATTTAACTGATGTTTGTGAATTAACTATTTATATTTAACATGTATGGAAAATAAAAATACTTCTAAGTGTTTACTGAAGATGAATTGTACTGAATGATACTGATTTCTGGTGTGTCATTATTAATATATGCAAATAACCTAGGATAAGGATATTTGAGTAGTAAAGAATCTCCAAGTACAGTATAAAGACTTTCTACCTCTAAAATGGGGGGTATGGTAATAGACCAGTGAAAATCCACAAGCTTAAACATATGGAAAATCTGAAGGTTTTTCTCAGGCAAATATATTTTTTCTGAAAAACAGATGAATCAGTCCACATATATTCCCTCTGTCCCCCTTAGACTACACAAGAGTCTTGGCAAATAAATTAGAATCCATCTGAAGTGTAGGTGGGTTTCAGGAAATTGAAACACAACTCCTTACAGAACCTTCATGGAATTTACTAGGGTATACTTAACACTTGGATTTTCAAACTATAAAATAAAGTTCAAACTGCTTTTAAAAAATGCATGCATTTATTTCTAGATTATTAAGTGAAAAAAATGATGTGTAAGTAATTAATTAGTAAAGTAAAGGACATTTAATATCCTCTAATGATAAAAGCATTATTAAACTGGGCTCTTGTTTATTGCATTGCATGTTTTGTAATGTGTTCTACCATAAGCTCACTTTGTACATAAAACTGAGGAATTTGTTTCAGCCGGATTCCAATGGAAAGAGAATTGAGGAAATAAGTTACAAAGGCAATGTTAATAAGGGGCAGAAATTCAAGCTCTGATAGTACATTTTGTATCTGGATATAGCAGAGAACTTTCCAATTAAGGCCAACAAGTAGAAAGCTGATAACTCTGAGCTGAGATTTATAAGGAGAGGTCAGCAGCATATAATGAGAATTTGGAGCACATACATCCAGCTACAACACCTTTAGTAAAAGTATAGCTTCTAAGGCCAAAAGCTAATGGCTCCATGACAATAATAAATAATGGTGAGAGAATATTCTAGCCTCCGGCCTCAGAAAAAGAACTCTGGTGGCATTATACAATTTTCATTAACACTAGCTGAAGAAATAGTTCTAAAGGGGTTGTTTCAATTTCCTAAGTGTCTCAGCAGTAGAATATGTAAAATCACAATAAGCAAGGAACTCCTTTTAGTTGAAAGCCATCCTTTTCTCCATGGAATTTACATATAGACATGTCCTTGCAGAAGTGAGAGAAAGGGGGGGAAAGAGAGGGAGGGAGAGAGAGGGAGGGAGAGAATTGCTCACATTTCCATTACTCACTGTATAACATTCAAAAAAAAATTCTAAGTAAATAACACTTAAAAACATTAGAATTCGCTTAGTATATATGGTGTAGCTACCAGTATAAGCTCAGAGCACACATGTGTATGAGACCAGATGCAGTTGTGCCCTGCACAATTTACAAGGCCATTTGCAGCCAGTCCTGAAGTAACATTTAAGAACACAAACTTCAGAGTTGGCAGATCTGGAATCAAGTGACCCTAACCGTGTGACTGTGAGCAAGTTAATGAACCTGGCTACGTTCGGGTCCCAAATGCATAAAATAAGGATAATAATACCAACCACCACCACGGGTTAGTGAGCAATAAATGCAAACAAAACACAGAATACACTACCTTTGTGAAGTTAGTGAGCTATGAAACTTAAGTATTTAATTTTTTATTATTACCATCGTGTATCAGCTTTTGTATTAAGAGCGGGGGGGGGGGGGGGGGGGGGGGGGAGAAGGTGAATGAGACACATGTAATATTAGAGATTAAACTCTATTGCTAAATATTAAGTAACCATATCATTCTTATTTTAACTCTTACCACAAAAATAAACATACTATATAATAAAAAGGTAATATGTAAATTGACTGTCATTCCAACACACAAGATGACCGTCCCCATGTGGACACAAGATGGCTATCACAAAGATGGGCAGAAGGAGAGGGCAGTTAGGGGTGACTGGGCCTACAAGGGAAGGCAATTAGGGGCGACCAGGCTTGCAGGGGAGGATAGTTAGGGGAAACCAGGCTGGCAGGGAAGCAGCTAGGCATCAACCAGGCTGCCAGCAGAGTGGTTAGGGGTAATCAGGCAGGTAGGTAGGTAGGCAAGCATTTGGGAGCGAGCAGTCCAGGATTGTGAGAGGGATGTCCAACTGACCCTTTATGTGGGGTCGGCCCAAATGGGCAGTCAGACATCCCTGAGGGGTCCCAGATTGGACAGGGTGCAGGCTGGGCACCCTCTATATATAAATATATATATAAACATACTATATAATAAAAAGGTAATATGTAAATTGACTGTCATTCCAACAAACAAGATGACCGCCCCCATGTGGACACAAGATGGCTATCACAAAGATGGCCAGAAGGAGAGGGCGCACGCACACACACACACACACACACACACACACACACACACACACACCATGCACTAATTTCATGCACTGGGCCTCTAGTCTATAATATAATAATGTAACTTTTTCATCTGATATCATTAGTAGTCCACTAAGGTCTGGGGTATCTGTAATCTTCATGGCAGTCACACTGCACAAATTGAAGTTCCCCAAGTGCCACAGCTTCCCCAAAGCCCAAGAAAGTAGACTAGAGTAGTGTAGGGGTAGAATTGATAACAGCAAATATGAATAGTACAATGAAATATTAATCAAGAAGAATGTAAATATTAAATCAAGAATTTTGTAAAAGGTAAATCAAGTGCAAGAACATTGTAGCTTTTTTAGCATTTATTATACAAGGACCAAGAAAATGCAGTTTGAAATCTTGTCATATCCACCCCAAGAATGACAGCAGAATTATTATTCTTCAATACCACCAAGCAATACCTTGAAGTCAGGTATATTATTAACAGCATAATGGATTCTTCACCTTTAGGGAACTTTCATATAAACCCTTGTCTCTTTCCAATGCCCATGAACCCATAATCACAAGAGTTTCGTTCCACAGATCTCTCTTCAAACTCTTACTCCCCAAGTATGTCTCAGGCACTCACACATTGCCCAAAATATAGTTGTATTCAGTTGTTACCTGAATGAGTGCAACGTAAGTCCCAAAGTATACCTAAATTTAGAGGCTACCTGGGGTAAAACAGAAAAGTTACAGAGAGGCCTGCTCCTTTTGACATTTTACAAATCAAAAAGAAATATGCTGAGTTAACCTAGTTACACTGTAGTGGTTCGTTCTTACAGGGGCATTGGGGGTG